CCCCGAATGAGAACAGGGACGGGACTTGGGCAGGGGCGGTTGGAGGAGGTGCAGGACTTGGGGCAGCTCGGGGCCTGAGGCCTGGCCACTGTCAGGGTCACACTGTGCGTCCCCACACCCTGGGGCCCAGGCATCTCCCTGTCCCCTCCTCAGCTCTGACAGAGAAACCCGACATCCACTTTCTGGAGCCTCTGGAGTCCGGCCGCCCCACAAGGCTGAACTGCAGCCTTCCAGGATCCTGTGAAGCGGGACGACCTCTCACATTCTCCTGGACGGGTGATGCCCTCAGTCCCCTGCACCCCGAGACCAACCCGGTGCTCACCTTCACTCCAAGGCCCAAGGACCATGGCACCAACCTCACCTGTCAGGTGAAACTCCGAGGAGCTGAGGTGACCACGGAGAGAACTGTCCAGCTCAATGTCTCCTGTGAGTGGTGGCGGGGACACAGCTGGGTCCTCAAGGGCATTGGGAGTGAGGGGTGTGTGTGTGTGTGTGTGTGCGCGCATATGTGTGTGTAGAAGAGAAAGAGAAGGATAACCTGGGAACGCTGGTGTGTGGGCAGGAAGGACAGCCGTTCCCACCTGGTGGGTTTCTGCGGCCCCTCCTTGGGTACCTCCCAGGCCCACGCCCGTCCCACTCCTCACCTCTGAAGCTGGGGCTGTATCTTTCTACCCAGATGCTCCACAGAACCTTGCCATCCGCATCTTTTTCAGAAATGGCACAGGCACAGGTAGGAAAGACCCTCTTCCCTCTGGGGCTGTGATGGGAGCCTTCTGTAAGCTCAGGGTTCAGCACTGGGAGAGGAGACCCTCCCTCACCCCTCTGCCCCAAGCCCCCCAATCCCAGTCACCAAGATCTTGCATGAACAGACCTAGTATTGCTTTTGGCTTCTCCCTTTTCTCCGCTCTCCTTTTCAAATATGTTTTTTTCATTGTGATAAAATACACTTGGCACATTATTTGTCATCTTAGCCATTTTAAAGAGTACAGTTCAGCAGTGTTAAGTCTGTTCACATTGTTGCAAACCAAACTGCAGAGCTCCCTTTATCTTGCAAAAGTGAAACTGCACCCCTTAAACAGCAACTTTCCACTTCCCCCTCCCGCCACCAGGCACCCACCATTCTACTTTCTGTCTCCATGAGTTGGAGTACTGAGGACACACTGTTTCCTTTTCTTCAGTTACTGCCTGCCCTCAAGTCCTCTGATGCACGCCCTGCTTGGTCTCTATCTGATCATCCTTTGTGGGAGCCTTCAACGTTCTCACCTCCCCAAGCTCTGCCCCGGAGCCCTGTTCTCCCTTCACATTCCTGCGTGATCCAATCTCTCCTTGACGCTGTCCTGATGCCTCCCGCGACTTTACATCCAGCCCTTTCTCTGAGGCACAGATCTGCACATTTAGCCACCTCCCGAGGACACCTCTCAGCTACTCCTTCCCTCTAGATCCGCGGGCTGTTCTGGACTGTGCTCTAGACAGCGTGCTTTCCCACCAGCTGCTCCGTGAGTCGGCAAGTCTTGAGACCTTCACTCCACCCATCATCACTTCCTTCCTCTTCCCCTTGGTTCCAGGCCCAGCTCGAGTCTCCTGCTCAGCCTGGCCCATTGCCCCAGCCTCTTCCCATCCCGCTTCCCTCCAGTCGGGGACCTACTTGGCTCCAGCAAGAAAAATCCTGCTGGATTTTTCTAGGTCCAGCTCTCACTCTGTTTCCCCTATTCACAGCCCCCTACTGCTTTCCAGGATAAAGCCTGAGGCCCTCAACCTGGCACCCAAGGCTCCAAAAGATCTGAGCCTGCTTCCTCTACCGCCCTTATCGTGTCCTGGGAGCTCCGGGTCCTCCCTGCCAGGTTGCAGAGATAGGAGCCTCTTCCTGGTCTGCCAGGCTGTCTCAGTTCTCAGCACATCTGCACCTGAGCTGCCCATCCGCTTCTCCTTAACGTGAGAACGCCTCATCTCTCTTTTCTCCGTTCAGTACCCTTCTTTCTGATAGCCTGACCTGATCACCAAGTCCTCACCTCTTCGCCGATGACTAGTCCATTCGCAGCACTCACCACATGGTCTTGTTTTTGTTTTTTTGTTTTTTTTTTTTAACGGAGTTTTGCTCTCGTTGCCCAGACTGGAGTGCAACCGTGCGATCTCGGCTCACTGCAACCTCTGCCTCCCGGGTTCAAGCAATTCTGCTGCCTCAGCCTCTTGAGCAGCTGGGATGACAGGCATGCACCAGCACGCCCAGCTAATTTTGTGTTTTTAGTAGAGACGGGGTTTCTCCATGTTGGTCAGGCTGGTCTCAAACTCCCGACCTCAGGCGATCTGCCCGCCTCGGCCTCCCAAAGTGCTGGGATTACAGGTGAGAGCCAGGGAGTCCAGCCGGCCTTGTCTTTCTTCTTGCAGCTCAGTGGGAGGAGTCAGGGAGAATTGGAGCTGAGCGGGCCTTGAATCTCTTTCCCAGCCCTGCAGATCCTGAGCACTGGCATGTCACTGCCCATCCTGGAAGGCCACTCCCTGTTCCTCGTCTGCACAGTTGACAGCAACCCCCGTGCCTCGCTGAGCTGGTTCCGGGAGGGTAAAGCCCTGAATCCCTCCCAGACCTCAGTATCTGGGACCCTGGAGCTACCTGACATAGGGGCTGGAGATGGAGGGGAATTCACCTGTCGGGCTCAGCACCCGCTGGGCTCCCAGCACCTGTCCTTCATCCTTTCTGTGCAGAGTGAGTTGCAGGGCAGGTGCTGAGGGTGGAGAGCCTGGTCAGATATTCAGGTCGGTGGGAGGGACTGAGACCTGGAAACAGCTTCTTACCTTCTTCTCCTTTCTCCCAGGAAGCCCCCGTTCCTGCATGTGTGTACCTGAGAAACAGGACGGCTCCTGGCCCCTCGTCCTCACCCTGATCCGGGGGGCTCTCATGGGGGCTGGCTTCCTCCTCACCTACGGCCTCACCTGGATCTACTACAGCAGGTAAGCAGGCCCGCTTCTCTCCAGGAAGCTCCTGAGTGCCGGGTGCGGCTGAGCTGTCCTGCCCCACCTGGAATCAGAACTGGAGTGGCCGGCGCTGATCTGAGGCCTGTGTTGGCTCTGCAGGTGTGGAGGTCCCCAGGAGAGCAGGGCGGAGAGGCCTGACTGAGCCCCTCCTGCTCAAGACAGAAGCGAGGCGTGAACACCCAGCCCTGCAGGACAGATGCAGGACATCACCGTCAGCTTCCTTCTGGAAGCTCGCATCCCACTGACTATCCCTGTTTTCCTGCCTGCCCCATACCCCGTCTACTTATCCCCCTCTGCCTGTGAGTCCTGCCCCGCCACACCTGCATCCCCACCTGCACCCCATCCCCTCCCCACCCACCCTTCTCTTCCCTCTCCATCCCCAGTTCTGTGAAGGGAATGAACTTTCAGTCTTATACCCCCATTACCCAAAAGTTACGTTTTGTTTTTTGGTTTTGGTTTTTCTTTTTTGAGACAGGCTGTGTTGCTCTGCTGCTCAGGCTGGAGTGCAGTGGTGCAATCTCCATTCACTGCAACCTCCACCTCCTAGGTGCAAGCAATTCTCCTGCCTCAGCCTCCCTGGTAGCTGGAATTACAGGTGCCCACCACCGCACCTGGCGAATTTTTTTTTTTTTTTTGTATTTTAGTAGAGATGGAGTTTCACCATGTTGGCCAGGCTGGTCTTGAACTCCTGACCTCAAGCGATCCACCGCCTTGGCCTCCCAAAGTGCTGGAATTACAGACATGAGCCACGGTGCCCGACCACCAAAAGTTACCTTCTTAACCCTTGAGTTTCTGGTCTCCTCACATACCCTGTCCATGTAGGCACGGACACACAGCAATCGGTTTCCACTTGAAACCCTACCTTATTGTGATTGTTATATAATACAGTTATTATAAGATAAGTAAAACTTTTATGAAACAATACAACGTAATTGATTTTACTCTTTAATGCCTCTGTAGAGAAAAAATGTCTTAATCTGGTTTTTTTTGTCAGATGTGTTTCATCAAAGGCTGTCATGTTTATTCATTTTTTCAGGATGCATAATTTAAATAGAAGAAAACATGCAAATCTAAACAGTACAACTAGGCCAGGCGTGGTAGCCCACACTGGTAATTCCAGCTACTTGGGAGGCCGAGGGGGGAGAATCCCTCGATCCCAGGAGGTCCAGGCTGCAGTGAGCTATGGTTGCGCCACTGCACTCCAGCCTGAGCCACAGAGCGAGACCCTCTCTCTTAAAATATACAAGCCAATAAAGAGTACCACTAGATTAACTTTTACATATGTGCACCCTCTTGCTTCCACCACCCAGCCTCAGCATGTCGATTCTTCCCAGCCTCCCCACAAATGGGTCTCTGTGCCCTTTCCAGTACAAAGCCTCCATTGTGGGTCCCACCATTCTCTCTTCTGTCTGTATAGATTTGTATTGTCAGGTTCTGTGCATCATATAACTGGAATCAAACATTAGGTATGCTTTAGGGTCTGGCTTTATTTCTTCAATATGGTTTTCCTGGTTTATCCATGCTGTTACATGTATCAGTAGCTCATTTTTAGTTTTGGTATTGTTTTTGCTTTTAATATCGTCCAGTCAGCTTTCTCTATCCACCGGTTCTGCAGCTGCAGATTCAACCAACTACAGATGGAAAATACAACACTATTTTTGGGATGTGCAGGATCTGCAACTGCAGAGGATCAATTTTTTTGTATCTGCAGCTTCTGCAAGGCCGGCTTCAAGACCTGAGCATCCTCTCTTGAGGTCAGGAGTTCAAGACCAGCCTGGCCAACATGGTGAAACCCTGTCTCTACTAAAAACAAACAAAAAATAGCAGGGTGTGGTGGTGCAGGCCTGTAATCCCAGCTACCTGGGAGGCTGAGGCAGGAGAGTCAGTTGAACCCAGGAGGTGGAGGTTGCAGTCAGGCGAGATCGCACCACTGCCCTCCAGCCTGGGAAACAAAGCAAGACTCCATCTCAGAAAACAACAACAACAGCAATAAAAAAACAGACCTGAATATCCAGTTTCCCACAGACATCAAGGGGTGACTAAATTCTATGTGTGAATATATCTCCTGTTGCTTTTTCAATTTTAATTATTGCGATCTGTTTGAGGTGATATCTTCTTATATTTTTGTATTTTAATTTGCATTTCCCTAATAAGTTATGATGTTGAGCACCTTTTCCTATGTTTATTGGCAATTTGAATATCTTTTGTGCAATGCTTGTTCTGATCCCTGCTCATTTAAAAATAAAAAATGGGCTTTTTCTTAATATATATATATTTTTTGGTTCTTTGTTCGGGATATGAGTTCCTTAAATTGTGCTGCTTTTCCTACTTGTCACTCTTTTTTTTTTTTTTTTAAATAAGTGTATTTAATTTTTAGGAAATCCCATTTGTCCATCTTTCATGGATATATAGTGCTTTTGCTGTCTGAATTGTGAAACCTTTGCATGTACCAATATCTTAAAGATCTAATCAAATATTTTTCCCATTGATTTAATTTTAAAATTACATTGTAAAATTTATTTTTTGTACATTTCCATGAGATTTAATGCATACATATATTTGTTTAACCACTATCACCCCCACAACTATCAAAATACAAAATGGGCCAAGTGGGACAGGTTACGCCTGTGATCCCAGCACTCTGGGAGGCTGAGGCAGGCAGATCACTTGAGGTCAGGAGTTTGAGACTAGCCTGGCCAACATGGTGAAACCCCATCTCTACTAAAAATACAAAAAGTTAGCCAGGCGTGGTGGCTCAGGCCTGTAATCCCAGCTAGTCAGGAGGCTGAGGCAGGAGACTTGCTTGAACCTGGGAGGCGGAGGTTGCAGTGAGCCGAGATCGTGCCACTGCACTCCAGCCTGGGCAGTGGAGTAAAACTCCGTCTCAGAAACAAAAAAAAAAAAAAAAGAAAGAAAAAGAGAAAAAAACAAAATGATTTAATCATCCCCAATATTTCCTGTGCTATTCATTGACAATCACACTGTCTAGCCAGTCTTCATTTCTGGCAACCACCGATCTGTCCTGCATAACTATAATTTTGTCTTTTTGAGAACAGAGTCGTAGAGTGGAACCGTTTGAGACTTGCTTATTTGCACCCCGTGTAATGCTTTTGAGAGTGATTATAATTCCTTTTTACTGAGAATAGTATTTTATTTATGTATAAGTTCTCTATCCATCCAGCCGCTGAAAGACATTTGGGATGTTTCCAGATTTTGGTGATCATGAATAACACTGCCACAGACACTCATGTACCAGTTTTGATATGAACATATGTTTTCATTTCTCTTGCATAGATTCCTAAAAGGAGGATCGCCAGGCCGTAGGGTAAGTCTATATTTAATTTCATAGGACGCTCTGAAACTGTTTTTCAAAGAGGTCATACTGTTTTGCATCACCACCCACAATGTATGAGGGTTCCAGCGGCTCTGTGGCGTCACGTACAGTTGATATTGTCACCATTCCAGCCATACTAATAGGCGTGTCATGTTATCCCCTTGTGGTTTTAATTCACATTTTCGTAACAGTGGTCAGCATCTTTCTTTTGAGATGGAGTCTCATTCTGTCACCACACTGGAGTGCAATGGTGGAAACTTGGCTCACTGCAACCTCTGCATCTCGGGTTCAAGCGATCCCCCTGCCTCAGCCTCCCAAGTACCTGGGACTACAGGTGAGTAGCACCATGCCCAGCAAGTTTTTTGTACTTTAGCAGTTTCACCATGAAACCAATGGGGTTTCATCTTGTTGGCCAACATGGTCTCAATCTCTTGACCTTGTGATCCGCCCACCTCAGCCTCCCAAAGTGCTGGGATTACAGGTGTAAGCCACCGCTCCTGGCTCATCAGCATCTTTCTGTGTGCTACTCTGTCATCCATAGATTGTCTTTGGTTAAGTGACTATTCAAATCTTTTGCTCAGTTTTTTTTCCACAATTTACAAGGACATTTATTACCTCTGTGTCACACAAAAACTTAACAATTGTAGTTATTACTAATAACATATACTGAGGCATATCAGAATTATAGGAATCTTGTACGATTTTGTAACATATACTAATAACGTACTTATGTGAATATAAACACCGTTTTACATTTGACAGTGTTTCCTGCATGATTTTTAACACATTAAATAAGCCAAATATGTCTTTTTGGACTTTAGGGGACCTAATATCTAAAACATTAATTAGGTCAGGAAGGCATACTTTATACTTTTATCTTGGAAAGTTTGTCAAATATCAAAGGTTTAAAACACTGGATGTTACAAAATAGAATCCTAGGTCATCGTAAGTCATTCATTCATTTAGCCAAAATGATAACTCAATAATTTTAAAAGGATAAAACCTTTACTTTGATAGAGGGGACTTAGTTTTCCAAGCAACAAGACCCAATGAAAAAGGCATGAGGCCAGCTGAGTCTCTCTCTCTCTCTCCTCCCCTTTTCCCTGCCATTTACCCAAAGGGACACACGAAAACCTTTCATTATCTTTTAGTATCACATAAAAATCTTTTTCAAAAGAGAAAACCAAATCTCATGTTTGTATTAGGGATCTTTAATATAAAAGCTAGCTTTTTAAAGTACAATTTTATAAATCTACCTAGTTTTAATTAGTTTGACCATAAGGTAAGGTTTTTATAAACTTTTTAAAAGATTGCTTTACAATTTTCCATGAAATAGCAGATAAATTCTCTGAGAAAATCCTGTTATTTGGACACAGGGGCCCAGATTCTGGTCCTGCATTATTTTGCTCACTTTTTAATTGTTTTTGTTTGTTTTCTAATCATTGTGTTCTGAAAGTATTTATATGTTCTGGATGCACGTTCCATATCGATATGATTTAGATATATTTTCTCTCAGTCTGTAACTTGTCTTTTCATTATTTTACAGTGCATTTCATAGAGGATTTTTAAAATGTTTGTGAAGTCATTTATATTTCTTTTTGTAGATTGTGTTTTTTCTGTTACGTCTAACAACGCTTTGTCCAACCCCTGGTCACAAAGATTTTCTTCCACGTTTTCTTCTAAAGTTTTACCTTTTTATGTTTTACATTTAGATCTATGATCCATTTTAAGTTAATTTTTATATGAACTATGAGGTTTAGGTTGAGGTTTATTTAGGCATAGGAATGTCCAATTATTTGAGCATCATTTGTTAAAAAGATTATTTTTTTCTCCATTGAATTGCTTTTGCACCTTCATCTAACATCGATTGGCAATATTTATGAAGGTCTATTGCTGAACTCTGTGGTCTGTTCATTGATCTATGTGTCTAGTCCTTTGCAAATACCACACTGTTTTGATTATAGTAGCTTTACAGTAAGCTTAGAATTGGACGGTATGATCCCTCCAACTTTCTTTTTCTTTGCAAAATTGCTTTAACTATTCTAATTCTTTTTCCTGTGTATATGAAATTTAGAATCCACTTGTGTATATTTACAAAAAGACATGCTGGGATATTGGTTGGAATGACATTAAATCTATAAATCGATTTGGGTAGAAGTGGTATCTATAAAATGTTGAGTCTTCCAATACATGAATGTGTCTCTGCATTTAGTCAGGTCTTCTTGATTTCTGTAGTCTCTGTTCAGTGTATTTTTTTAGCGCATAGATTCTCTACATACTTTGTTTATGGATTCTTTAATACTCTGTACTCTACATACTTTGGTTATCTGTCTATCTGGTTATCCACACAAAGTTGTATATATCTCTAATTACCTGTAGGTATAATTATGCATTTGTATGTATGCATGCATTTCATTTCATTTTTGATCTATTGTATATATTATGTTTTAAAATTTAAATTTTAATCATATTTTGCTAATATATAGAAATAATTGATTGATGTTTTGTACATTGGTCATGTATCCTCTCACTTTGCTCAACTCAGTTACTAGTTCTAGGAAAATTTCTTGCAGTTTTCTGTGTTGTCTATATATAGGAATTATTTTATTTCTTCTCTAGCAATCTGTATTTTCCTTGCCTTATTGCACTGGTTGGGACATCCAATATGATGTTGAGTAAGAGCAGTGAAAGTAGACATTCTTGTCTTGTTACAGATCTTTCCAGGGGCTGGTGAGAAATGAACATGCAGTTTTCTACCATTAAATAAGATGTTAGCTGTAGATTCTCTTTAGCTACCCATCCACAAATTGAAGAAGTTCCCCTCCATTCTTAATCTTATAAGAGTGTTTCCTTTATCATGAATGGATATGGAATTTTGTCAAATGCTTTTCTATGTGAGTTGATATGATCTTGTAATTTTCGTCTTTCAACTCTTAGTATGGTTAATTACATTAACAGATTCAAAACAGACTTACAAACCCAGGATAAACCCCAACTTGGTGGCAGTGTATCCCTCTTTTTAGATATTGCTGCATTCTATTGATTAATTTTTAGAATATTTTGGTATCTGTGTTTATAAGAGAAATTGGTTGGTAGGTGGGGTTTTTGGAGTATTTTTGTCTAGTTTTGGCATCAGGATGATGCTGGTTTCAAAAAATGAGTTGGAAAGTGTTTCCTCCACTTTGATTTTTCAGAAGAGATTATGTAGAATTGGTGTTATTTCTTCTATAAATGTTTCGTAGTTTTCCTGAGTGAAAGCATCTGGGTATGGAGGTTTATTTTTTCAGAAGGGTTGAAGCTATGAATTCAAATTATTTAATAGCTATAAAACTTGTCACATGATTTATTTCAACTTAAATTTCGGCAGTTTGTGATTTTTTTCTGGAATTGGTCCATTTTATCTAAGTGGTGTTAAATTTATGTGCATAGAGGCACTTATAGTAGTCCCTTATTACCTTTTCAATACCTGTGGGGTGTGTAGTGATATGATATTGATGATTTGTATCTTTTTACCTTTTTTTAACCTTGTAAATCTTATTATCAAGTTAACTGATTTTTAAAAATACCAATATTTGCATTGCATTCATTTATTTTTTAAATTACATAACAGAAATTTACTTTCTTACATACAGTTCTTTTTGTTTGTTTGTTTGTTTTGTTTTGTTTTTGAGACATAGTCTCACTGTTTCACCCAGGCTGGAGTGCAGTGTTGCCAGCTCGGCTCACTTCAACCTCCACCTCCTGAGTTCAGGCAATTATTGAGCCTCACCCTTCCAGAGGGTTGGGATTACAGGCGTGAGTCGTCCCCCCAGGCTGCATTTTCTCACAGTTCTGAGGCTGAAAGTCCAACAAGACCAAGGTGTTGGCAGGGTTGGCTTCTTCTGAGATCTCTCCTTGGCTTGCAGATAGCTGCTTCCTCCCTGTGTCTTCACATGGTCTTCCCGCTCTTTTCCATTCATTGCTTCAAAAGTGACTTTCTGTTTTTAATTTTATTGATTTCCACTTTAACTTTATTACGTTTTCCTTCTGTTTGCTTAGGGTTTGTTTTGTTTTTCATTTTCTATGATGTAGAATCTTAACTATTGAATTGAGACCTTTCTTTTTCTTAATTCCTGATTTCTAAGCATTGAATGCTACACACTGAATTACCCTTAACCCAGAACCAGTTCCTTCCTCTCCCACAGACAGCCTATTTGCCAAGGGGATCAGACATCAGGTCTGATGAGCAGCTTGCACATTCCTCATTGCACATGAATATCTTTAGTTTGTTAGATGGTGTTGGGAACAATTTATGTCTTTCAGTGTTACACGCTTTACCGGCACTGGACAACTTCAGATATCTAAAAGTTTTCCAATTTGGAGAGTGTGTGATAGTATTTGGCTAATGGTTTGAACTTAAGTTTACCCACTTGCTGATGAGATTGAGTACTTCTTCATCCATTTTGCTGGAGCTGGATATTACTTTTTTGAGGGATTGCTTTAAGTCTTTGGTTCCCTTCATGTCTCTACCAAATTTAGGATGTTTTGGACATTTTTATTCAAATATTTTTGTCTGTTCCGTTCTATCTTTCCTTTTTCTTCAGGCCTCCAATTACAAATAGTTAAACTTACTTATACTGTCTCACAGGTCCCACGATCTCTGTTCCCTATTATTTTAAATATTTTCTCTCTGTTTTTTCAGGCTGAATAATTTTCATTATCTGTCTTCACATTAACAGAATCTTTCTTCAGTTATCCGTTTCTTGCTATTAAGCTCAACCTGTTAACTTTAAAATTTTAGATGCTGTATTGCAGTTTTCAAGATTTTTATTTGTCTTTTTAAAATAAATACGTTCTATAGCATGGCTCGGATTTCCTATGTCTTTATTCGTTGTGATTACAGCAGCTGCTCGAAAGTGCTGGTCTGTTGTTTCCATCACCCCGGTCATCTCAGCACTGGCCCCTGCGTATCTGCCTTTCACTTTTGCCCTTTACTGTGTGTTATTACCTTCAGGTAGGTCCTATTTTCCTGTGTTTTCACATGTTGAGTAGCTTTGGATTGTATTCTAAATGTTCTTAAGGTTATGTTGTGGAGACTCTGCAACAAGTTATATTATTTTAGAGTATTTTTTTTTAAGCAGACAAACAATTTGGTTCAAGTAAAATTGCAGACTATTCCTTGCCTGTGATGGATGACGGCCCAAGTCTCATAGCAACTCTGTCATCTCTACCTGCAACACTTGTGGTATGACCTACACATACGTGGTTCTGAGGTCAGAGACATGGAAAGCATTTATACTCAGAAGCTAGAGTTCCATTTCCCTAGCTCTCTCCTTTCCTGAATTTCCACCTCATGTTCCAGTGTTCCTAGTTGCCCTGGGCTTCAGCCCTTGTTCTCAGTCCAGAAAGATGGAAGGAGTTCTATTAGAGTTTTAGTGGCCCGTTTCTGCACTGTAGCACTGGCCTACCATTGGAATAAAGCTATTTATTTCTTGTTGGTCCCTTTCCCCAAACTTTGACTCCATCCAAGATCTATTTTCTTTTATCCCATTTCCCAAGTAGGTTTTTTTCCCCATTTAAAGCTTACAACTTGTAAGGATTGCTTTTTGTTAGTTTTGTTTTGTTGTGGGGGGTTCACTCTGCTAGGAGCTTACTCCTTCATAATAAAAACACTACTCTTCTTTCATTTTGAAGGATAATTTTCCAACATTTAGAATTCTAGCTTTGCATTTTTTTAAAAAACCTTTTGGAGATGTCATTCCACTTGGCGGGGGCGATGAGTTTCTCATGATAATTCAGTCATCGCTTTCTTTGTGTGTTTCCACCTAAGGCAATATCTGTTTATGTCTTGCTGCTTTTATAATTTCTTCATTCTTTTTAACGAATTTAACTTTTGTATACTTCAGGTATTTTTCTTTTAATTTCCCTAAGTGCATGTAGCAAAGAGCGTGCTATATTTACTTCTTTTCTATATGCTTTAACTCTTGATGTACTCTATTTAAGCTGTAATAGAAATATTTTCCTAAAATTTATATGTTGAAATTTTAAACCTCGAGGTGATGGTATTAAGAGGTGGCCCTTTTGGGAAGTGATTAATCCATAATGGTGCCATCTTCGTGAATGGGATTAGTGTCCTCATAAAAGAAATAGAAGGAAGTGTGTTTTGCTCTTCTGCCATGTGAGGATACCGCAAAAATATACTATCTGGGAAGGAGAGAATTCTCTGCAGACGCTGAATCCACTGGCACCTTGATCTTGGACTTCCCAGCCTTCAGAATTTATGAGAAGTAAGTTTCTGTTGTTTATAAATTTCCCAGTCTGAGATATTTTGTTATAGTGGCCCAAATGGACTAAAACAATTTATCTTTTCCATCCTATGTTTTCCCCCTCTTTATTGTTTGGGTAATTCTTGTTGGAAGAGATAGCTTGGACCACCACAATAGAAAATGTGGCAAAGTAAAAGAGGCAGTTCCTGCTCATCCCCAGTTCATCACTGTCATAAGGAGAGTGCTAGATCTTCCAATTTTGAAAGGTAAGTTCAGTAAGTTTGTATTATTTTAATACTCCTCAATATCAAAATATTGAAAACTAATTTATAATTTCCAACACATAAATATTTATACAATTTTATACACAGTAATAATTACAGGAATGCAAATCAAAACCATTATGAGATACCACTTCGTACACATTAGAATGACCACTATTAAAAAACAAAACTAAACCAGTTAATAACAAATATTGGTGAAGATTTAGAGAAAATGCAACACTTGTGCATTTGCTGGTGGGATGTAAAATGGTGCAATCTCTATGGAAGATGGTATGAAAATTCCTCAAAAAATGAAACGTATAATTACCATATAGTTCAGCAATTCCACAACTCTACTTCTGAGTAGATACAACAAAGAATTGAAAGCAGGGAGTCTGATATTTATACACCCATGTTCACGCAGTATTATTTACAATAGCCAAAACATGGAAGCAACCTAAATGTCTATTAGTGGATAAATGAATAAACAAAATGTAGTATGCATCAAATAAAATCTTGTTCAGCTTTAAGAATGAAGTTCTAACCAATGCTTTAACGTGGATGACTTTGAAGATATTACGGTAGGTGAAATAAACCAGATAGAAAAGGACAAATGTCATACGAGCGTACTTATATGAGATACCCAGAGTAGGCAAATTCACAGATACACATTGCCCCTGGCAAGTGTCATTCTACTTTCTGTATCTATGAATTTGACTACTCTGGGTACCTCATATAAGTATGCTCATATGACATTTTATGGTATAAACCAGTAGTTCCCAAATATTGCATCCTGTTCAGATTTTAATATCCCCAGAAAGTAACTGGATCTTCCCTGCTTAATAATCACAGAGAACCCAAAGCTGCCGACTTACTACAATATATGGGAGAGTTTTTGAGGGTGGTGGGTGATTGACATATGCAAGCTGGTATCCCTTCCCCAAACATGAGAACAAAGACTTCTTTCCTGCCTTCCCCAGCACTTCGTACAAGTATATTTTGGGTAGCACTCTTCATTCAAGGTTTGGGAGCAGCAGAAAGGAATAGCCCTTCAGGATAAGAAGTAGGTTAAATTGGATGCTAGACGTCACGTTGCAAAAATTCACCCTTCATCCCCACCACAGAAACTCTTTCACTGGATTTTCTCTCCTATCACCACGTTGTTGAGTCTAAGAGGTCATCCCCCAAATCCTTATGTCATTGCCACTCAATCTGTAACATTTAAAAACACTTTCCCTTGTAAATCTGTTTTAGTTCTTTGTAAATTCTAGATATCAGCTCTTTGTCAGAAGGGTAAACTACAAAAATTTTTTTCCCATTCTGTTGGTTGCCGATTCACTCTAATGACTGTTTCTTTTGCCGTGCGGAAGCTGTGGACTTTGATTAGGTCCCATTGTCTATTTTGGCTTTTGGTGTCAATGCTTTTGGTGTTTTGGTCATGAAGTCCTTGCCTACGCCTATGTCCTGAATGGTTTTGCCTAGATTTTCTTCTAGGGTTTTTATGGTGTTAGGTCTTATGTTTAAGTCTTTAATCCGTCTGGAGTTAATTTTAGTGTAAGGTGTCAGGAAGGGGTCCAGTTTCTGCTTTCTGCACATGGCTAACCAGTTTTCCCAACACCATTTATTAAACAGGGAATCCTTTCCCCATTGCTTGTTTTTGTCTGGTTTGTCAAAGATCAGATGGTTGTAGATATGTTGTGTTGCCTCTGAGACCCCTGTTCTGTTCCATTGGTCTATATCTCTGTTTTGGTACCAGTATCATGCTGTTTTGATTGCTGTAGCCTTGTAGTATAGTTCGAAGTCCGGTAGTGTGATGCCTCCCGCTTTGTTCTTTTTGCTTAGAATTGACTTGGCTATGCGGGCTCTCTTTTGGTTCCATATGAAGTTTAAGGTGTTTTTTTCCAGTTCTGTGAAGAAGGTCATTGGTAGCTTGATGGGGATAGCATTGAATCTGTAAATTACCTTGGGCAGTATGGCCATTTTAACGATATTGATTCTTCCTAACCATGAACATGGAATGTTTCTCCATCTGTTTGTGTCCTCTCTTATTTCATTGAGCAGTGGCTTGTAGTTCTCCTTGAAGAGGTCCTTTATGTTCCGTGGGCAAAGGATATGAGCAGATACTTTACAAAAGAAGACATACATGAGGCCAACAAACATATGAAAAAATGCTCATCATCACTGGTCGTCAGAGAAATGCAAATCAAAACTACATTGAGATACCATCTCACGCCAGAGAGAATGGCGATCATTAGAAAATTCTAGAGACCACAGATGCTGGAGAGGATGTGGACAAATAGGAACACTTTTACACTGTTGGTGGGAGTGTAAATTAGTTCAACCATTGTGGAAGACAGTGTGGCGATTCCTCAAGGACCTAGACATAGAAATTCCATTTGACCCAGCAATCCATTACTGGGTATATATCCAAAGGATTATAAATCGTTCTACTATAAGGACACGTGCACATGAATGTTCATTGCAGCACTATTTTCAATAGCAAAGACCTGGAACCAACCCAAATGCCCATCCATGATAGACTGGACAGGCAAAATGTGGCACATATACACCATGGAATATTATGCAGCCATCAAAAATGATGAGTTTGTGTCCTTTGTAGGGACATGGATGAACCTGGAAACCATCGTTCTCAGCAAACTGACAGAAGAGCAGGAGATCAAACACCGCATGTTCTCACTCATAGGCGGGTGTTGAACAATGAGAACACATGAACATGGTGGGGGAGCACTACACACTGGGGTCTGTTGGGGGGAAATAGGGGAGGGATGGTGGGGGGTGGGGAGCTGGGGAGAGAGAGCAAGGGGAGAGAAGCCAAATGTAGGTGATGGGGAGGAAGGCAGCATATCACACTGCCACGTGTGTACCTATGCAATAACCTTGCATGTTCTTCACATGTACCCCAAAACCTAAAATGCAATAAAATAAATAAATGAAATTTTAAAAAATCACTATCACCATAAAAAAAATAACAATAATAAAATAAAGACAGAAAAATAAAAATGCTTTCCATGTCTTCCACAAGGGGGAGCCTTAATGTTCATGTTTCTTTTTTTAATCCAGCATCATTTTAGCTTCCTCTTCACCTCATCCTGCAAAACTTGATACATCCAAAATTACCCCTAGTAATTTTATGTTGTTTGAATTTCACCTGAGTAAAAAATATTATCACTATTTTGATTCGAAAACAAAGTAATGATAAAACAAACTATATACTCTCTCTTCTCTCAAAGCAAATTCCGTAGCCCTTCTTGAATGTGAAAATGGTTGTTTCTTTCCCCAAATTCTTTTTTTTCTTCTTTCCCCCAATTCTCTATTTTGTGTTACTTTACTTTTATTAGGATGGGCATTGCGTCCCTGAGGTGGCCCAGCCTGGCATCTTCCTCGCCCTTGGGGCCCAGCTTTCCTGCAAGAGGTTGTGGGGAAAGTTCCTTTTTTGACCTTCTGTCTATATCTTGTGGCTTCTGTTTGCAATTTCCTCTCCCCTCACCCCATCTGTTTTAGCTTTTAATAGCACAGAGGATGGGGGTTTGGAGAATGAAGCTGTCCCTGGGCCAGCTCTGGGATCTCCAGCTTGGGAGGTGCCTCTAATGTGGAGTGGGACAAATGCCAGAAAGGACCGGGTGGGCTTGGGGTTGGCACCACAGGTATCTCTGTCTCTCACCCAAGGAAACAGGTGACCTAATGCTCTGTGCATTCTCCTCACCTGGGATCCTGGAATGTTAAAAGTCACTGTGGCCAGGCACATGGTAACTGTGCTCTAGTGATCATAAAGGAGAGGGTGAGAGTAAAAAGTATAATTCCCAAGATCAATGTCACCTCCTCAGTTGCCCCCAGGACAATAACTCTTCCCTGAGTACTGGGGGATTCCAGATGGGAGTCCGTGGGAGATGTGTCTTAAGAGGATGTGGCATAACATATACCTCTTACCTGAAGAGTCAGTGTGAGAGTGACGGGGGTTCAAATTCTCCAAGAGTGAGCGACTTTGGAGACCAGGGTGGGAACACACATGCAGTTAGGATGAAATCCGCTATTACTCACTGCTTGGAAGGGAACTTGGAGCCAAATGGAGAGGAACCACCCATTCCCATCTCTCAAAAAGGGGCTGCCTTCTCCTCTCCGGGACCTGAGACCCATGACTGCTACCTCGCTCTTTGTCTCAGTGGTCACCTTTACTTCTGGGCTTCAGGTGCTCTGCAGGTGCCCTTCAGCTTTCCCCTTCTGAAGCCAGAGAAACATGGAGAGAACCAGCCTCCTTAGCATGGCTTGTGGGAGCTGGGGTAGGATGTCAAGGTCCTGGGGAGACAAGACCTTTGAGAAGTAGTGCTCAGGTTCTGGACCAGGGGCCAAGGTTTCAATCTTTCTCGTTATAAAAAGTGTTACTTATGTTTTGCTCAGAAATCCCTTCCTTCCTCAAGTTCGTGGTGGTTTCCTGCTGTATTATCTTCCAACAGCTCTATGGTTTTCTCTGTCATATTTAGGTCTTCAAGCTACCTGTACCTGGTTTTGATGCATGAGCTGGGGGTGAAATTTCTTTGCAAACTTACTGCAAACTTGATTGCATTAAGTTTTCCCATATACGTTTTTGAAAAGTTGGCCAGACACAGTGGCTCAGCATTTTTGGGAGGCTGAGGTGAGAGGATTGCTCGAGCCCAGAGTTTGAGACCAGCCTGGGCAACATAGTAAGACCCTGTCTCTACAAAAAATTTAAAAATTAGCCAAGCATGATGGTGCATCCCTGTAGTCTCAGCTATTCGGGAGGCTGAGATGGGAGGATCACCCGAGCCCAGAGAAATAGAGGCTGTGGTGAGCCCTGATCACACGATTGTACTCCATCCAGGGTGACAGAGACACTGACACACAAAAAAATTTAAATAAACGAAAACAAAAATAAAAAGAAATATTTATCGTTTGCCACTTCCTCTATCACGCATAATGTTTTCTGCTGTTGAGGTCTATTTCTAGGTGCTCAATTTTTTTTTTTTTTTTTAACTTGGTCAGTGCATAATGGTCATTTTTTTTTTCTTTTTTTTTTTTTGAGAGTCTGGTCTCACTCAGTCACCCTGGATGGAGTGCAGTGGCGAAATCTTGGCTCACTGCAATCTCCACCTCCTGGGCTCAAATGTATCTCCCACCTCAGTCTCCTAAGTAGCCGAGACTACAAGCATGAGCCACCTTGCCCAGCTAATTCTTGTGTTTTTTGTACAGATAGGGTTTCACCATGTTGCCCAGGCTGGTCTTGAATTTCTGGGCTCAAGTAATCCTCCTGCCTTGGTCTCCCAAAGTGCTGATATTCAGGTGTAAACCACTGAAATGGGTGTAGTTTTTCAACATTTTTAAAAATTGGAGACAGTCTCGCTCTGTCACCCTAGATGAAATGCAGTGGCACAATTTCAGCTCACTGCAACCTCCACCTCCTGGGTTCAAGCAATTCTTGTGCCTCAGCCTCCCAAGCAGCTGGGATTGCAGGCACATGCCACCATGCCCAGCTAATTTTTGTTATTTTTTATTAGCAGAGACAGGGTTTCAGCATGTTGGTCAGGTTGGTCTTGAACTCCTGACCTTAAGTGATCCGCCTGCCTTGGCCTCCTAAAGTGCTGGGATTACAGACATGAGCCACGGTGCCCAGCCTGATATGGTCATATTTTCTATCATGTTATGATACATCTTGATATCTTACAGAGCTGTTCATTTTTCTTCATGGTTGCCTTGACCATACTCGAACATTTCTACTTCAGTATGAATTTTACAATAGAGTTATCAAGTTGCACAAAGATCACCCAGAGGATTGTATGACATGTTTCTCTGACACTGTAGATTGTTGGGTAAAACTGACATTTATACAATATTGTTCTCAAACTCATCAACATGTCCTCTTTTTTGATTAATTTACATCTTTAATGTCCTTCAGTGCAGATTTATAATTTCCCCCATAGAGATGACATGTATTTTTGTTAGCTACATATAGAAGAGTTAGGCATATTCAATATATTCAAAAATGTTATCATAATTATAGCATAATTTTTGATATTGATAAATTATATACTAATTTTGAAGCTATTGTCAATGGTGTATTTTACAAAATTCCATTTTTGTTTACTACTGTGATGTGGAAATACAACTGATTTTGTAATTTGATTAATCTATGGCAGTCTTGCAAATATTTTGTTAAGGCTTCAAATGTATCTGTATATACATTTGGATTATTCTATATATGCAATCATGTCATTGATGAAGACCTCTCTTAAAATTTCATTGTAATTGCTGTACCATTTACTTATTTTTATTGCCTTATTATGTTAGCACCTGAAGCTATTTCATTAGGTATGTGATGTTTGCTGAAGATACCCATTATCTTATTAGGGAAATTCTCTAAAGAGAATTTCTAGTTGGTTATGAATTATATCATAAAGGGATTTGAAATCACCCAATGCTCATTTATTCATCTCTTGAGATTTAATAAGTTAAGGGCTGATGTAAAAACAGAAGCCATATACAGATTTTAGCGGAGGGAATTTAATATAAAGATTTTAATATAAAGATAAAAAATGTTATGTTCCTACATAATCGAGTCTCTATCTTTAGATCCTACTAGCCGTATGATGTACTACTTTCACAGTTCAAATGAGAAATGAAATTCAGGGCCGGGCGTGGCGGCCCACGCCTGTAATCCCAGCCCTTTGGGAAGCCAAGGCGGGTGGATCACGAGGGCAAGACATCGAGACCATCCTGGCCAACATGGTGAAACCCCGTCCCCACTAAAAATTAGCTGGGCATGGTGCCACACGCCTGTAGTCCCAGCTACTCGGAAGGCTGAGGCAGGAGAATTGCTTGAACCCAGGAGGCGGAGGTTGCGGTGAGCTGAGATCCTGCCATTGCACTCCAGGCTGGGCGCCTGGTGAAGAAGTGAGACTCTATCTCAAAAAAAAAAAAAAAAGAAAAGAAATTCAAATTTTCAATTAAAAAAAAAGGAAAAAAGAAAAACTTATTCTGACCTCTGTTAACATGGACTATTCAGGATGACAGAGACAGGTATGAAGGCCAGGCACAGTGGCTCACACCTGTAATCCCAGCACTTTGGGAGGCAAGACAGGTGGGTCACTTGAGGTCAGGAGGTTGAGACCAGCCTAGCCAGCATGGTGAAACCCCCGACTCTGCTAAAAATAGAAAAATAAGCCTGGCATGGTGGCATGCGCCTGTAATCCCAGCTACTTAGGAGGCTGAGACAGGAGAACCGATTGTTGGGAAGGGAAGTTTGCAGTGAGTCAGAGTCACGCCACTGCACTCCAGCCTGGGCAACACAGTGAGACCTTGTCTCAAAAAAAAAAAAAAAAAAGAATTTTGTATTTTTTTTTTTTTTTGAGACGGAGTTTTGCTCTTGTTGCCCAGGCTGAAGTGCAATGGTACGATCTCGACTTACCTCAACCTCTGCTTCCTGAGTTCAAGTGATTCTCCTGCCTCAGCCTCTGGAGTAGCTGGGACTACAGGTGCCCACCACCATGCCTGGCTAATGTTTGTACTTTTAGTAGACATAGGGGTTTCACCATGTTGGTCAGGCTGGTCCCGAATTCTGATCTCAGGTGATCCCCCGCCTCAGCCTCCCAAAGTGCTGGGATTACAGGTGTGAGCCACTGCACCCGGCCAATATTGGAGAATAATTTTATGATATAATTTGTATAGATAGAATAGAAAGAGAAGTCGGTATTTCTTCTGGCATGATTGGTTGAAATTTGTTTTGGTCATTGATAGTTTAAGAAACTGTCTTTACTCTCACAACACGTTGGAAACAGATATTCGGTGTCATAAAGAAAAATTAGCAGTGAGACAAAGGATCTTTCAGCAACGCAATTTTTACTTCCTAGACTGCAGGAAGGGGACCGTCCTAGCCATCTTGCCACGAGAGTACAATCAACAAAGGAAAAGCAGACAAATTTATCCCTTACGCATTTGGGGTCGTCCTTACTGCTGTGTCTGATCTCCATTGATTGGAGACAGACTTCACAATCTAAACTAAAACCCAATTGAATAACAACTTAAAACTTTTCTAAACAGGTAAAAGCAACGGAGAGCTGGGACATGCCTGTGAGCACGTCCAGCACAGATATCTTGGTTAAAGTACAAGGACATAGAATGTACTATGTGCCTGTAAGCATGGCATGTCCAACAGCTACATAGGATGGGGCTTCACAAAGAGTTATTAGCACACTTATGATTTATTCTTTAACAAGAAAGGAAACTTAAAAGAGGAACTTTTTTACTTCCCACACACATTAATAGGAATGTCTAACTTTTTAAGATCATTGTTCATTTTTGGGAACTATTAGGAAATTTCTTTTATAAAAGAGCAGTAACAATGAAGGTTATTTCCACACATTGCTTGGGCCCCTCCTGGGGATCTGAAAAGTGGACCCTGCAAGGGAGGGCACTGAAGACTGAGCTTCATCAGCCTCGTGGTGGCAAATTTGCTTTGGAGCTCCTTAACAGGGCAAGGCTTTAGAAGGGGCTTGTGTCTCACTGCTGTCCCACAAGACCCTAAGGGCCATCAAGACCCAAATTGGACTGTGCCGTGTCCCAAAACTCCCCTTAACGTAAGAGTGCTTCGGCTCTCTCATGTTCTGACTCCCCACTAAATTTGGGTCCAAACAAATTTGTTTTTCCAGCACTTTTGAACTTTATTTTTTAAAGACAGGGTTTCACTCTGTTGCCCAGACTGGCATGATCATGGCTCAGAGCAGCCTCAAACTCCTGGGCTCAGGGAATCTTCCTATTTCAGTGCCCCGAGGAGCCGAGACTGTAGGTGTGCCACCACACTGGCTAACAGTTTTTATTTTTGGTAGTGATGGGGTCTTGCTATGTTGCCCAGGCTGGTCTCAGACTCCTGGGCTCAAACAATCCTCCCACCTCAGCCTCCCAAAGTGCTGGGATTACAGGCATGAGCTACCATGCCTGGTCACTTTGAACATTTTAAAGCAAAGTAAAATTATACGTATCCAGACGGTTCATGGTTTTCAGCTGGAGGGTGGTTCTGACATCTCACCATCTCCAGGACACGCCCTCGTCTCTCTTTTCTTTCTGTATTCAGTCCCTTGGGGATCTCACTCTTGACTGAAACATCATTTGAGGGGTGATTACCTCCAGATCCCCACCTGGACAAGCCTCCCATCTCCTGGGGACCTCCGGATCTCCACCTGCAGTGTCCAGTGGGGGTGGGAGCAGGATGGCTTCCCAGCCCCCACGTCACCCTAACAGCACCCCAAGTTCCCCTTCCGGGCACGGCCACAGCTCTCACTCACCCACTGGCTTCCTGTCCGGGCTTCCTCAGCCCCATGCCACATTTGGGGCGTTTCCTTCCCTGACAGAGGGGCCTGGGACCCAGCTGGGGCCCTGGCGGAGGCAGACATGCTGCCCCTGCTGCTGCTGGCCCCGCTGTGGGGGGGTGAGTAAGCTGAGGGAGGAGGAACAGGCACGGGGTGGGAAGGGGGCTGGAGCTGCAGCTGAGCGTCTGTGTCCCCCCAGGGTCCCTGCAGCAGAAGGCAAGGTTTGAGCTGCGAGTGCAGAAGTCGGTGACGGTGCAGGAGGGGCTGTGCGTCCTGGTGAACTGCTCCTTCTCTTACCCGACGGGCTCCTGGCATTACTATTACTATGATCCATTCTACGTCTACTGGTTCCGGGACGGGGAGGACGTATACCGTGGTGAGCCTGTGGCCACAAACAACCCAGACAGAACTACGAAGCAAGAGACCCGGGGCCGATTCCACCTCCTTGGGGACGTCCAGAAGAATGTCTGCTCCCTGAAAATAGAAGATGCCAGAATGGAGGACACGGGACGCTATTTCTTCCGCATGGAGAGACGATATATAAAATATAACTACTATGAGAATAAGCTGAACTTGGAGGTGACAGGTATGGAGGGGCCCTAGGAGAGGACCCTGGGGCGTGGAGACCCCGAATGAGAACAGGGACGGGACTTGGGCAGGGGCGGTTGGAGGA